TCCAATCTAAATATCAATCGTAGCGGGTTTAGTTACAAAGTGATGGAACACAAAAGCATTGTGAGTCTGTAAGCAAACAGCAACGAGGAGTTACAGCAGTTCACAGCAACAGGTTACTAGTCAGACAAACTAGATTTGTGTGTGTGTTGCCTATCAGGTGTGTGCCCCGCATGACATTTCCAAATATTTAAGGAATTCCAGGATGATTTATAAAATCCAGTTATGATGCGGATGAGGACTTGCTGGATGAGCACAGCCAGTTTGCTTCAGGTATTTATCTCCGTCCTGCGTCATCTGCCTTTTCTTCTCATCCCTTGAAAACCAAACCAAATCCTCAGGATGTATCATAAACCCAAGTCCTCCTTCTCGTCCTTTACCCCCTCCTCCGTTTTTGGTTTCTTACCATGGTGGCGGGCTGTGGTGAACAACACACACCAGTACAAACAACAGACAGCTGGGAAAGAAGGTCTCCTTTCTATGCAGTTCAGGTAGCTCTGTGACTTTACTCTACTCCATAAGTACCCTCTCATTCCACCCGCATTTTACTTAAAATGATCAGGATTGGGCCAGAGACCCCCTCCTCGGACAAGAGCCGGCCAATCAAATTTGGTTTTAGTTTGTGCGCCCTTACAATCTCCTGATGGACATCCCCTTGTGTGGCACAGTGTCCAATCCCCCATATTTAGATAACAGACAAGCTCACTGACATTTATTGAAAAAAAAGAAAACACTGTGCAGGCATCAGGCAGCTGAAGGTTATTTTGGCAAAGGATCAACTGGGCATCTCAGTGCAGAACGACACTTGATTTCACATGGACCAGAGCGCGTGCACGCTCACGCACATCACACACGCATACATGCACTCACGGATTAACACCTCCCTGCATGCATAGATTCTCTGCCCCTTCCGCAGTGTCCGTTAACCCATCTATCTGCCCTCCTCCCTGTCCTCAGGGCTGCTGACTTGCCCTTGCACCTATGACATCTGAAACATAAGAGCTGTGCAGAAAGACCTGTCACCTCACACAACTGTCCCCCGTCTTAACCATTTTAGCTAGTGTTTTCTCATGACCTCAACAGAAAAGCAAACCTCTAATTACCATGTCAGTAAAAGGCTTGATTGAGCCAAAGTCAAAGTGAAATTTCCACAGAAACTCATTCAGAATCCCACTGACACTAATAACCATAAATTAGCAACAGAGGCTACTTCACAGTACATCTACACACAGTGGAGGAAACA